TAGAGATGAGGTCTCGCTGCCCAGGCGGGTCTCAAACCCGCGGGCTCAGGCAATCCCACTCACCTCAGCCTCCCAAAGGCGCAGGGTTACAGGCTGAGCCACCGAGCCCGGCTTACTTCTTTCTACTATCTTTCTACTATCTACTTTATTCTCTCTTTATGGTGCTTCCTCCCCTAGAATGTGAGCCCCGTGGGGCAGGGACCATGACTTCTGGAGACTGTGTCCTAGAAAAGTGTCTGGCACATGGTAGATGCTAAAAACTTTCTTGGAAGGACGAATGAATGAGTGCCCACGTCACACAAGCTGCTCCTCCCTCTGTGTGCTCCCTCTGGCCCACCCGCTGCTCTTACTCACACAACACTCCCCTTCCCCTTGGAAAGGAAGCCCAGGGCGTGTGGAGATACTGCTTTAGAAGCTGGCACTGCTTCTCAAAGCTGACAGGTGCCCCGAAGACTGAACCATGGGGCAGGGAGTTGTTGGTTCATTCAGCAGAGTTTTATTGAGCCTTTGCTGTGTGCCAGGCACCAGGCTAGGTAGCCCAAAGGTGTGAGTGGTAAACAGACTAGATAGGATTGCACATTGTTCCCCAAGGGGAGGTCACCCCTCAGGCAGATCAAGCCTGTGCTTGATGGGGGAGGGGAAGGCGGAACAGGAAGAGCTCCGGGGAAGGGTGGGCCATGGATCACACATCCTGACTCCTGGGGGCTCCCAGCGCCAGCCCTGGCACTGTCAGGATGCGGATATGTCCCAGAAAATCCGTGAGCCTCCTGCCCATTGGCTGATGGCATCCTCCTACTGCTGAGAGTCTCCGGGACTTCCTCGCCACCTCCCTCCTTCAGGATAAACTTCAAAGACTTGACCTAGCTTCATCCTCTGTAAGATGGGCATGCATAATAATAGCACTCTCTCACGAGGGGATTGTAAGAATTAAATACAAATTCACACAAGATGTTTCACCGCACTGCCTGACCCATAGTGCCCACGCGGGGAGTGTTGGTTTTTGTTGTTATTTATTATTGTTATTGTCATTATCATAGCTGTTGTCCTTAGCACCTGAGCTGAAAGTTGCTCTGGCACTGGAAGTTGCTATATGTGTGTATCTAAAATTTTACAAGGTGTGGCTGGGTTTTCTTGGGCCTGACTCCTGCTGGCTCCTCTCCTGCCTTCCTGCCCTGACTCTGTGGTGTTGTTCTGCAGGAATGCCCCTTTCTCAAGCCTCAACACCTCTTGGAAGCTGTTCCTGAGACCCCCATCCTCCCTCGGGCCTCTGTTCGGCATTAGGTCCTCTCCTCTGCCCTTGCCAGCACCATTGCTTGCCTCCATGATAGCTCCATCTGGCCATGTGAAAGTGACTGACTTCCCTCTGCTTCCCCAATTAGATTATAATCTAATGCAGAGGGGCCTGTCTTCCCTTCTAGAGTGTCAGGGCCGTATACAGGGCCTGGCAGGTGGAAGTAATAATAGCAGCTAACACTTATTGAGCACTTACTCTGCTTTGCTTGTACCAACTTACTGCATCCTTTCAACAGCTTCATGATGTAGGAACTATTATCATCTCCATTTTACAGATGAGGAAACTGAGGTCTAGAGAGGTTAAGAGCTCAAGGTCACATGACTAATAAGAAGCCAGAGTTGCCAGGCATGGTGGCTTATGGCTTATGCTTTAATCCCAACAATTTGGGAGGCCAAGGTGGGAGGATCACTTGAGTCCAGGAATTGGAGATCAGCCTGGGCAACATTGTAAAACCCTGTCTCTACAAAAAAAAAAAAAAAAAGCTAGATGTAGTCCTAGCTACTTTGGAGGCTGAGACAGGAGGATCCCTTCAGCCCAGGAGTTTGAGGCTGCAGTGAGCTGTGATGGTGCCACTGCACTTCAGAGTGGGCAACAGACTGAGATCCTTGACTCCAAAAAAAAAAAAAGACCAGAGTTGTTTAAACAAATGTCTCTTAACTGAATGAGTTGTCTCAGACAGAGGGTTGTGGCTAGCCTTGCTGGGTCATTCCAGGTGGCTCCAACTGCTTGGCTTCTAACTCTAGGCTGTGGTGATTTGTGTTCCACCCATGACAGTTCTCCCAGTGCTCAGACCCCCTACAGGGGCATCTAGTTCCTTTTTGGCTTCTACTACCTGCAGATGGCTGGGGTGGTATTTTCTTTACCTGCAAAAAGGCACTATGGTTTGAGTTATTCATGCCCAGAGAGGGCAACTTTCTGGGAGTCTGAGGAGACTTGTGGGCAGAGAAGCTAGATACTGCCCCCAGAGGGTAAAGGGAAGGCCCTTACATGACCTGTGGGCTGACCTTGGTCATGTGTTTTCCTGGGCTCCTTTTGAAGCTCTGAAAGCACCTTCCATGTGAGAATTTATTTTCGGCAGGCAAAGAGAGGGCCAGGAGTGGCTGTCCAATTTCACAGTCTGCCAGGTCTTCCCATGCTCCACGTGGGAGCATAGCACCCTCCTGGCTCCCTACCCCTGACCTCAACTCCCTTCCTCCTGATTCAGAAGCAAAACGTGACCATCATGGACCACCACTCGGCCGCAGAGTCCTTCATGAAGTACATGCAGAATGAATACCGGTCACGCGGGGGCTGCCCAGCCGACTGGATTTGGCTGGTCCCTCCCATTTCTGGAAGCATCACCCCCGTGTTTCACCAGGAGATGCTGAACTATGTCCTGTCCCCATTCTACTACTACCAGGTGAGGGGCCTTTCCCGCGCCTCCCTGCCAGGGGCTGGGGTGTGGAGACTGTGTGTGTGTGCACGCGAGCACATGCACCTGCCCGCTCACTCTTGCAGGGCACACGGGGGAGGATCAGGGACACGGGCATATTATTTAAGCTCTCCAGGCCCTACTCAAGGATGCTGAGCAGCATCGGTCCATTTCCATGGAGAGAAGGGCTGAAGGGAACACCTTGTACTGCACTTCTAGTGTTTCGTTGCTCTGAAGGGGTTTAAGCTCCCGAGCGGGTCTGTCATACACCTGCTTCCACAGGGGCCCGGCAAGCAGTCACCCAGCATAGTGGTGAGGAGCTTGGCTCCCAAGTCAGATGCTGTTGACCCTACCATTTCCTAGCTGTGTGGCCTCAGGTGGGTCCTTTCATCTCCCTGAGGCCTGATTTCCTCGTCTCTAAAAGAGATGGGCATTATTAACTCCACGACAGGAGGTTGTGCGGATCACAGGAGCTGTGTGTGCAGTAGCTTAACCTGGAACCCCACCCAGAGCGCACTCAGTAACTGTCAGCTATGGAAATGAGTTTGTTTTGTGTCAGAAGGATTTGGGTTGGAATCTGGGAGGGGTTTTCTCACTCTGAAGGTGGTAATCGGGGTGACAGTGTTTCCTGGATTGCCAGGATGCTTGGGCCTATACATGATGCAGTCTACTCAGTGGGAGAACACGAACAGCAAAGAATGAGTGGGGCCCGCTGCCTCCAGGACACTAAGGAGGCTAAGAGTCAACTGCCCGCCCTGATGTGCCTGCTGCATGTAGGCGTTGGGGATGCCACTCCAAGGGAGAGAGATGGCCACAGTGCCCCCTTGTGGGGTTTCAGTGAGGCCCGGCCTCCCCAACTCCTGAATAACCTGAAGGGCCCTCTGCTGCTCCAGCATGCCCCCTCCAGGTCGAGCCAGGACCCTGCCCTGCCCTCACCTCTCCTTTCTTTCCTGAAGGTGGAGGCCTGGAAAACCCACGTCTGGCAGGATGAGAAGCGGAGGCCCAGGAGAAGAGAGATTAAATTCAAAGTTTTGGTTAAGTAAGTGGGAGCGGCTGGTGTTGATGTCTGGACTGTGTCTCTTCCTTCTTGCCACCCTCACCTCTGGGCCTTGAAGGGCAGAGAACACAGGGAACAGATATGCTTTGTGGAGTTTGGCTCCCAGTGGTCTGGATGCCAGTTCCGAGGGTCACCTGCTGCTGTTGTCCCAACCTTCTCTCTCTTCCATTTTCTAAAGGGCTGAGTGATGGGTGAGGGGAGGAGAGGGGCCGGTCGTCAGGTGGCCGGCTGCTGAGAAGCGTAGCATCTTTCCCTCAAGTTGCCCCACTTTAAGCACTGGCCCCCTCCCATGCTTCAGGTCTGTCTGTCTGTCCCACAGATCTGTACTCTTTGCCTGCATGCTGATGCACAAGGCCATGGTGTCCCGAGTGAGAGCCACGATCCTCTTTGCGACAGAGACGGGAAAATCCGAAGCGCTGGCCAGGGACCTGGGGGCCTTGTTCAGCTGTGCCTTCAACCCCAAGGTAGCTGTCTCAGAGGGATGGATGTCATTTTCTCTTTGTGTGTGCAGAGGAGGCTGGAAAAAGTTAAAATATTAGGTTTCTCTGCCTCTGATGTCTTACCCTTGAATGTGCCAGTGTGCATCATAAATCTGCAATAGAAGAATAGATTTGTGCACAGGGATTCTCAAACTTACATAGTGAACGGGGAACATTCCTCGGGAACACAGTTTTGAGAATCACCTTCCTAATGAATACATGAGCTGCTCTGGAGGAATGCATTCACACTGACTCTGCAGGGTGTGGTGCTGGATGTGAAAAGGGTGGGAGCGCATAAGAAACAGATAAGTATCTAAGCCACATCCCTTGCCTCCAGTCAGAAGGATAAAATCTAGCACTTATGGAATGATTGTCACATGCTTGGCCAGCATGGGCCCTGGGGATATGACAGAAGTACATAGAGCCAGGCCTTGACCTTGGGAACTCTCCAGCTTACACCTCCCTCCACCCTGCCCCCTACCCCCTGCAAATCAGGTGTTGGTCAGAGTCATTGTTAATGCTGTGCAGAGGAAGAACCTGAGTGTCGGACAGGTTTAGTGGTTTTCTCAGGGTCACAGTGCTTCTGAGAGACAGATGTGACTCTGGAGATAGGGCACAGGCAAGGATGGAGTGAGTTGTGATCTGTGCTGGACAGAGGCACAGTCCAAGGTGGGACTGACCACCAGGTTAGCCGGACAGCTGAAACGGCCTCCTGGTGTCAAGCCTCACCAGCTGGCTCCATGGGATCTGGAACTGCCAGGAGACTGGTGGCAAGTCCCACCTTCCTAGTCTGGTGGCCCGGGTAGAACAGCGAGGCAAGGAAACCCTTCCCCTGACATTCCCTCTGGGCCCAGCTGTCACCTGCTCATTCCAATTTTGCGGGAAGTATGTCTACACACACAGAATTTCAAATAGCAATGGAGGTAATGGGAAGTATCTTGCTTTGGGATATGCAGTATTTTGGAGATGGAGCCTCCAGAGCTTGCCGATGGGTTAACTGCAGGGCTTGAGGGCAGAAGGAGAATCGAGGATGATGTGTTCAGATGGGTTCATTGACCTCCTATGGGCCATGCTTGTGCTGGGCACCAGGGGAGGCAGTTGACCATGGGGGCCCGGCCTAGTGAGGGAGGGTGGTGTGGGGGGAAACCAGGGTTCTGGGCGGGGCATGGGGGCTCAGCTGGGAGCTGACATCCACCCGGGTGTCATCCAGGTCCTCTGCATGGACGAGTACAAGCTGAACAGCTTGGAGGAGGAGCAGCTGCTGCTGGTGGTGACCAGCACTTTCGGGAACGGAGACTGCCCTGGCAACGGAGAGGTGGGTGGCCGAGGTGCCAATTGTCTGGGGGGCGGTAGGGCCTGGGGGACCCAGGAAAGGGCCTGGGGAGATTCAGTGTGTTCTAAAGAGGACATGGGGGGGGTGAATGCTCAGGTCACTCTGGGTGGTCCTGACGTTGGTCATTTGCCTGCCTCCTTTGTAATTATTGCCATATGCGTGTACCACCATTCCTGTGACATACTCAGCCTATTTCTGTGAATGGCTTACCCTTTTAATTCAAAAAATTCAGATGTAGAGGAAACTTGTATCACTGTCACAAACGGAAAGACCAGCAAAAAGTAAATTCAGTGGTAACAGAATGAAGCAAATGACTTTTAGCTAGATACTGTTGCCCATCCCAGCCTGCTTTGTCTTTGTTTTTAAAAAGAGCAATAGGCAGCTCTGAGAAAGGCATTAAGGCTCTGCTAGCACCAGTTCGAGACTGTCTCTCTAGTGCTCAGAAAGTGAAAAGGTAATTGAAAAAGGAAGAACTAAAAACTTAATTACAAAAAGGGGAGTAACTACTCCCAATGTGATGTGGTGCTCTTTCTGCTGGATCACATACCTCCTAAAATTGCCTTGGGTTTCTGGAGAGTCAGGGCTATTTTAGAGACTATAGGACTGAATGCTGTGGTTTCTACCAGGTTCTAAACAAGAACAGAGGCTCACGCCCCGTAGGAAGCCTCGAGAGATACCCTGCCATGAGCTGGGTTAGTTTGGGTGCCAGGCCACTCACCAAAGGTCAGGGCCCACATGAGTTGTGCAGGTTTCACTGGGGCTACAGATAAGTTGGATGTGTCAGCTGACCACCAGATCCTTGGCCAGGTGGCCCCACATTCAAACCAGCTTCCACGGTGGCTCTGGAGCCTTCTCCTGCCAGCTGTGGCCAGTTTTTTTTGTTTGTGTTTGTTTGTTTGTTTGTTTGTTTTGAGTTGGAGTCTTACTCTGTCGCCCAGTCTGGAGTGCAGTGGCCACTCCCGGCCACCGCA